CTCTGATAGCGAAGATGAATTGGTCATCCATGAAAACTATTATGGAGAAGAGTCTAAATCCAACTCGACAGCCCAAATATGGAACTCCACAAAGGGTACATATGACAAAGCCTCTCCTCAGCTGGTCAAACGAAGTCCTATCAGGATCTCTGCCAAAGATGTTCACTTCATCTGGCACCTATTTGATGGGTATGATTGGGCTCACACGCGGGATGTCATTAGCCAGGCTGTCCAAATTGTGGAAGATAGGGCTCTGCAGTTCCAGACTAATCGTGATGGTTTCGACGTACACGAGGAAGAACTCGAGGACGAAGAAACTATTGGTGATTTCCTGTTCAATTCGATATACATCGGTATACCCGCCAGCCGCCAACCTGGTGACCTAACACAAGCTATTAATCAAGAGTTAAATAATGACAACGCTACCGAAACCGAGTCCATCGCGACCACTGCCTTTACTGATGCATCAAACCGAACGGCACGACCTCACCAGACCCGGAAAAAACGGCTCCGTCTTAACCGTAGCAAGCACCACAAGATGTCGTTCGAGCTACAGGGGATCAATGCAGACATTGTTGTCTATCCAGAAGATGCAGGCGAAACGCAAAGTAGCGTTGATGTTCGCGTGAATAGCTTGGATGTCTTTGATCATGTGCCGACATCGACTTGGAGAAAGTTTGCAACCTATGACCGGGACACGGGAGAGCGAGAGATGGGCACGAGCATGCTCCATCTGGAGATTCTTAATGTCAAGCCCATGCCCGAGCTTGTGGCATCCGAGAGTGTCCTGCGAGTCACTGTGCTACCCCTGAGGTTGCACGTAGACCAGGATGCACTGGACTTCCTCACGAGATTTTTTGAGTTCAAGGATGAAAAGGTGCCGGTTCATGCCTCGCCTAGCGATATCCCGTTTGTGCAACGAGCAGAGATCAACTCGATTCCAGTCAAACTTGACTTCAAGCCCAAGCGAGTGGACTATGCTGGACTGCGGTCTGGTCGCACAACCGAATTTATGAACTTTATCGTGATGGATGAAGCAAGGCTCGTCTTGCGCCATGTCATCATTTATGGTATTTCAGGGTTCGATCGCCTTGGTAAGACGCTCAATGATATCTGGATGCCGGATGTGAAAAATAACCAACTGCCTGGAGTCCTTGCTGGATTGGCTCCGGTCCGGTCCTTGGTCAACATTGGTAGCGGCTTCAAAGACCTGGTGGAGATTCCCATCCGCGAATACCAGAAGGACGGTCGAGTCCTCAGAAGTATTTCAAAGGGAGCCGCTGCTTTTGCAAAAACGACCGGAACGGAAATTGTCAAGCTGGGTGCGAAGCTTGCTGTTGGTACACAGTACGCCCTTCAGGGTGCAGAGGATATGCTCACCCAACAAAATCAAGGGGCTGGGAGCGCCTGGGAAGATGATGATGCTGATCCAGACGACAAGAAGCAAATCTCCCTTTACGCAGACCAACCACCCAGTGTCGTCCAGGGCTTGCGAGGAGGATATCGTTCCTTGGCCCGAGATCTCAATGTGGCCCGAGATGCGATTATTGCAGTCCCAGGTGAGGTGATGCAAAGTCAGTCACCAGGTGGCGCAGCCAGGGCAGTTTTGAAACGGACACCGACAATCATTTTCAGACCAGCTATGGGTGTCTCGAAAGCTATTGGGCAGACACTCTTGGGCGCGACCAACGCTCTAGATTCCCAACATCAGCGAAGAATAGACGAGGTAAGAACCACCTTGGATTTTTTTCACATGATTTGATGATTGCTAACATAATTATGCAAAGAAATACAAAAAACATTAGGCAATATAAGCTTGTTATAGACTTGCCACCATTCTCTTGATCCCTTCTTATTTGTCCTTCATTACCCCTCCCTCCTGCGTCCATGACCACTGGCTCTACATTTTGGATCCTCGGACGCATTTCGCTTTTGAACATGGAGGTGCAACAATTGGTTTAAACAAATCCGGCTTCCAAAATTGTCTAGATGAATCAAAAGTCTCATGAAAAACGACGGCTTCGTTATGAGATTCCGACTTTGTCTTAATCAATCCGAAGAACGATGAATCGAAAGGATGAGGAATCCGAGAAGAAAAGAATATAAGGGAGGATCATACGCTGCGGAAATCAGCAGCAATTTTGAATTGAATATTTAGATCAACATAATCCGCCGCCATGCCGGAGATTTAGACGCCGGCGCAGTCTTTCACTTGCTCACATCTAGGGAGTTGGCTTGTTGTTTATCTCTATCCTATTTTACATCATGGAACAAGGTGTTTGGGGTTATTCTTTCATACAAGGAGGCTGTTTCTGACTTTATTTCCCTTTGTTCTCTTTTATCTAGATTGTTACCGATATCAACCTTAGCGAAGACCGCGTTTTACAGATAGCCATGACTTTCAAATTGAAATTGCAATATTCTTTCAAATAACTATGTAGCCTGTGTAGCTTTTCCCATCTCTATTCTACGTAATGTCAGATTCTATCCTCATATGCCCATGCCATCCCATACTCCTCTATACCTACATGTTAAAACCCATCATCGATGCCCTTTTCTTTCTCAGCGGCTCTGCGCTCCCGGTTCGAATCCACCCACCAACGGTGCGACTCCTCAGTCCCAGTCCACTCGCCATTCTCATCCACCTCATCCCACGGCTTGGGACTCAGGATGTAGTGGATGTTCTTGACCTCGTCGTCGCGCCAGATGGCGTCGTGGACACCCTTCCAGCGCAGGGTCTTGAGGGCGTTGTAGGTGTACGGCAGGGCCACCCAGCGGCCCCTGTACAGATCGGAGAGGAGGGATTGGTCGGCAAAGTCCATGTCCACGGCCCCCGCCTCCATGTGCGCGAGGATCTGGGCGTACAGGACCTGCGACGGGTTGACGACCTGGAGCCCGCCGTTCATGAAGCCGAGGGGTCCCACCGCGGGATCGGCGCCGACGGTCTGGGCCTCCTCGGGGGTCTGGTGCTGGGATGTGAAGGCGCAGTGCTGGGGCACCCAGTCGGCCGGGTAGTGCTTCTTCTTGAGGGGGTTGCAGACGCAGGCGTGGCCGGCGGCGAAGACGCGGGAGCCCGCGTTGGAGTCGGCCTGGTCGGGGCTGTCGAGGGGCAGGTCCATGAGCTCGTCCATGTTGCGGAGGACGAGCATGTCGGAGTCGAGCTGGACGACGCGGGAGTACTCGGTCAGGGAGAAGGGGGTGAGCTTGGTCCAGCAGTCGTAGAAGCGCGGGTCGTTGGAGTAGTCGCGGGACTTGGTGGGGAGGAGGTAGGGGACGCGCTGGGAGGGGATGCCGCGGGCGGCGAGGGCGGCGCGGCCCTGCTCGGGGAACTGGTCGGTCACGAGGGCGACGAGGGGATATTTGGAGTTGACCTTGCGGAGGGAGTGGTCGAGGGTGAGGAGGCCTGGGAGGTAGGCCAGGTTGGTGATGAGGGTCGTCCAGACTGGAAGTTGAGGGTGAGTATCAAGCAAGTAAAGCTTCATGGAACCTGAAGTGACGTCGACAGTGACTTACCCTTGTCGGAATCGACGGGCCGCTCCGAGGCAGACATCTTGGCTGGTGGTTGGGCTTGGGCGTGCTGGATGGCTTGATCCAATGTGTCTGGGCTTCACAATGGCAGCTGGGATGGGATGAATCAAGAGCTTGGATGGAGGTTCTCCCTTCACTCCCCGCGCTTGGTCTTAGGATGAGATAGCGGGGTACATTGATGCCCCGCCAAGTGGGAGCACTAAGTGAGTGTTGTGCGTCATTCTAGATGTAATAACCTAATCTGACTTACAGCTAACACGCTGGGAGCTTGAGCTTTCGTTGTTTAGTATCCTGTCAAGTGTGTCAACTTTCTAATACGGGCCACAATATTGATGGAAATACCTAGTTGATAACATTAATAATAATGAATTATTGAGTAAATATTAGGCAACATTATCTACCTACCTACCTACCTATAGAAGCATTATTGTAAAACTGACTGCCACAACAATTCTGTCAAGATGGATGACTTTCCAGTCCCTGTTTTTCTGGCCACTTGCCTTGGTCATATGAGCAGACTTCTTACTACATTGCTGAGTTGGGAAATAAAACCAACTACATAAGCCATATATTGTAGGCAATCCCCTGCTTACATCAAGAAGTCCCCATTTCATTGGTGACCAATACCCCTCACCTGCAGCCCTCAGCTTCTTTCATCAATATTCCTCCGCTCCGTATCTAGTTCTCTGTGAAGTAGACGGCAAACTCGACCAATGCTCCAAAGAGAACCATTTTGACTTCAAACGGCATCTCTTCATCTTCAGTATAGATTAAAATCGTCTTCTAAGCAACCGTAGAGACAGGTATATCGCAGGGCAAGGTCAGATATCACAGGCAGACGCATCTCATGAGTGTAAAGACCAAGGTTGCAGGCAGAAATGGCAAGATTGGAGTTTCCCGGGAGATAGTTGTTTGCTCCAAACCTTGATCACGGCTTGGCTCCATTGTTGGGCGGCAATGGGTGAAGCCAAATCTGATCTCCGAAATGATAAATTATGTGGCAAACGTGTTATTGAACGCATAGTCAATACCCAAATAACGCAAAAAGCTCGACAATCTGCCATTGGCAAGACGTGTGCAACGAGCACTATAAATTAAGGGCAATCGCCCCAGAAACTTGAGGCCTATTTATAAAGAAAACAACCTCTCCGGTAGTCAGGCGCTGAGGTGATTCACGCAGTCATCAAGTCGCCACTACTTAAGATTTAGTTGTTCGCTATTCAAGTGACGTGAAACGTAAAATGCACCATCCTTTGAAGATTTCTCTTTATCGGAACACATGATCTTCTACATTCGTTATACTTTTCTGGGGCTTGAACAGCGCGAGCTTAATCGTGCCTGGTTCGCAGGCACTTTGTGTATAAATAGATGTGATGTGGACTGGTCTTCACTTTCGCAAATTCTGGCTTTCTTCCTTAACAGTGCCTTATTTGTGTCAGTGGCATCTTTCCAGCCATTAATATTATATGAAAATGGCAGCTCCGGTCAGCGTTCGGACGCCCCCCAGAACTAATCCTGGGACGAATTCAAGCAGGTTAGCAATCCATCGACAGCTGGATGATTTCCTGAAGAACCTCGACAACAGACCAGACATGATGGACCAAATTTCGAAATATCTGCAGCATCGGCCTCAGTGGGAAGAGCCAAGAGATCTTATTCCAGTAGACGAAGTGGAACAGAGATTGGATTTGGTCGAGAAGTACCAGACGTGGAAGCGTGCAGAGCTCGCAGAGGAAGCCGAGGAGGTCGATCCAGACGACGATGAAGCACAAAAGCAGGCCGCGGAGTGGAAGCTCACTCGTCTCGCCTACGCCGCTTGCATGACTATGCCCCTATCGCTGCTAGTTGAGTACACCAAGTTTGATCTGTACTGTGCTTTCTTGGACCTCTGTCTCGGAAAAGCCGTCGAAACGGTTCGGTCTCGTGAGTAACACCCCCAAGTGACTGAGATAAAACATGGCACCTCTTTTCGCGCAAGCTAGAGACATTATTTTCCTATACAATAGTAAACACAATAATAGCAAGACAATGAGTTATTCAACATTATTGAGCTTGATATTGTGTTTATTACAAGGTCAATTGCTTTGGTATTGTGTGGAAATTCCAAGCTAGATGGAGGTTTTGTTATGCCATGTTTTGCTCTAGCTACTTGATTCCCCCCCTCTTACAATCGCGACCTTCATACTAACACAGGTTCTTCGTTGGACAGTTCTTTTCGCATCGGAAGAGCAGAGCTCAAAGATGAATAACCCCAAGAAGCGCTCAGGAATCCAGCAGCCCGCAATGAAGAGAGCAGCAAAGCGCAGAAAGGGCTCTCACGAAAGAACGGATGTAAACTCCGGGGCTGATAGCGCTACCGAAGAGAGCGCTCAATCGTCGCGAGACCGCCGGATCCAACTGTCTGAGAAGATTAAAAGTGACAAAGAAAGAAAGAAGGCACTCGACTATGATGAGGGTCGATGCAGGATCTCTGGTTCCACTAGACCGGGAGTTGCTCATATCATCCCTTTCTCATTCAGCAACAGCACGATCAATATGGAGAGGACCCAGATGTTCCGGGAGTCCTTCAATCTCTTCAATGCCTCGACAACCGCCGCCTCATACATTGCCGGTGGACAACTTGGATTGACTGATAAATTGTTCAATCTGGTCTGCCTTGACCGGAATCTTCAAAGCAACTGGGATAAGGGCTATCTCGGCATCAAATACCTTGCTATGGCCGTTATCCCGGGTCAAGGTAACACAGAAATTACGCTGCAGGCTGTGTGGATGCCCATGGTCAAGGCAGCAGGTTTCTCTTACAACGACCTTATCGACCTGGACGATGAGCGTGATAAGTACTCTGGGTTCGCCTACACTATCCAATCTCAGGCCGGCACAGCTCCCGGCCACAAAGTCTTCAGAGACTCGGGTTGGCCAATTGTTTCCGGAGATAAATTCACTATCCGAAGACCTACTGATTATGCAGAAGGTTCTGTAGAGATGATCAAGCTGCGGTGGCACCTAGGACAGCTCGCAGCAATCTCTGGAGCCGTAGGAGACTCTGACTTCATTTTCGGCCAAGATGAGGTCTTTGAAAGACGTGTCAGAGATTACGGCAGACACTCAAGACAAATAGACCGGGAAAGGGAAGAGAGAGAATTGGAAGCTCAGGAAAGAAGGGCGGCCCAAAGTCAATAGAAGAAATAACGAGGGAAAATTGGTAATGTTTGGACTCGAAGTTCTGTTAGGCATTAAATTTGACTGTCCATCACAAAAGCCCACGTGAAGAACCAAATAAACACCCAATAAACACCAAGATAATACTTAAATAACCAAATACGTTGCTTATTCTAGGCAGAGGCTATAGATTATCAATGCTCGCATCTTGATATTCTTTCCTTCATTTTATTTTAGTCAATATACAGCTAGCTATGAAAGATCGAAGGGAGTGCTCAAGTGTGCTACTTCCTCTCAGCCGCTTAGAGAGCTAAGTACATAATGAAGGTAATAGAAGAATCGATAGGAAGAAATTGAAACTCGGCATGATCAGATATACCAATCGCAACATGATAGCTACAGTCATTCGAGGAATTAGAAATGGGACTCGGCCTCGCTCGCCTGAACCCGGAGGATCGCACATGCGAATACGTTGCCGTCAACGATCCCGAAATGGCCCGAACCCATGGACCTCAAGCTTCTGTCCCAGGCCGAACTCCCCATGTCGGCTGGTCTAGTAGTTGCTTCCGCTTTGATTCCGCGGATCGAACCTTCAATCCTTGTAGGAATGTTTTCACGATCCATCACAAGCACGGCACATGCTGAGTTTCCCATTTGTCCCTAGCGTAAAACTTGCGGCCTCGTTTTCGGTGCTCACCTAAAGAGCTCAAGAGTCAACTAGAAGAGCGTCTTGAGAGTAGATGGAATGCAAGCACGGGTAACTAATTTGAGGTTAACTTTGTCGAGAGTCCCAAAAACAGATTTCTCGTCTTCAATTGATGGATTTGTTGTCGCATGCGGAAGCTTAAGCTCTACCAACAAGTCCCACTAGTGACGCCATCCGCAAAAGTAAATCATTCGATACAAGGCCTGTCCCTGGACTGTAGGACGGCCTTCGAACCGCGGGGCAGGTACTCGTCTTGGTATAGACGACTGGCAGATTCCCAATTGTCGGTTTTACGCCCGCCGAACCAAAGGAGTGGACGCTACATGTGATCATCTACTGGAGTAGGCCACGATGCCGAATACCGAGCGCCGCGGTAATCCTGACCTGAGGGTATGTAGCCATCTGAACAGCCGAAGCTGTGGAGGATCTGTAGGAAGAGTGAAGCGAGACGCGATAACGCAGCATGACGCTTCTCTAGCCCATTGAACCAATTCCAAATCTCAGTTACCAGGGTCTACTCAGCCACATCACCAGCCACAGTGGCTGGTTCCCCGGCAAGCTGGGAGGCTTCGGAGAGTTTGCTGGTAAATCTACGTCAATGCCGTTACGGTGTCTGAGAATAGAAAACGCAGATCTCATCTCAGCGCCACGCTCCTCGACCTAGATCCCCTGAAGCTCAGGGGCAAAGCAAGTGAGGCGGGAAGGCTGTGCTTGGGTCTCAGGTTCTCGATTCGACTCTCCGTGTCTCTGTCACCGCACGCGTGGACGGCTATTACCCGTCGCCTTGCAGTCCAGCTCACCAACTTTGTTCACATGACCACTTGTGAAATGATCGGTGTCGGCTAGGATGCAGCAACGTGCGGATCCCCAACAGCAGCGGTGACGGACAGTGCACTGGCCACTAGGTAGCTGCAGCGACCCCCAGACCCCCTGAACAGGCCTATCAGAGCGGTGATGACAGAAAACATGGCACACCATGGCCACCGACATTGTACTTTGACGACCTATCACAACCGCTAAAACACTGAGAAATGAAATTCAAAAACGACATATGATATAACAGTCAATAAATTACTCAATATTGTGACTACCAGGATCAATCGACAAATCCCATAGTCCCACGAGGGCCTGACCGCGGGGTGCCTTCGTGTGCCAGAGCCTGGATTTTGTCAAGCATAGCTCAACTGTTGACCCCCACCAGTCTCAGAGCGTCGGCGACGCTAGCCCCATGCCTGTGTGAATGCTGGGACCTCAGGTCGTAATTAGCACCTACGGACCCTGGGAGAGCTACCATGCTCGCCGTGCCTCCCCGAGCGACAGGGCGGCGTCACTGGTGACCTGCACCAACCCGTGGGTGGAGGGCTGCGTCGGCAATGTACCTCCCATGGATACCGACAAGGACCGTTTCTGATCATGGGAAGCGCCCTCCTCTGCAGGTTCCTTGCCTCCTGCACATCTCGTACGAGGAGGTTCCTCTTGATTGACGGCTTTAGTCCAGGCCAGGAACATTATTTCCCACGACTCTGTGACTCGGGTTACACAACGCTGATGCATCGCTGACCCGATGGACATGCGATACTGGTGTGTAATACGGAAACATTCTAGGTCCTCTCCCCGGTATTAGATGGCGGTGTTGACCTGGGCTGGGCCTGCCGGGGCTCCCTCCCCACATCCAGCCGTGTACCTAGACCCAGGGCCAAATCCCAAGCTCTCAACAAGCCTGGGGACGATCGATCGGGCGAGCCACCGAACTCAGGGCCTCAGAGCTTTTCAACGGAGTCTATCCGTCGCCTTGGTTGGTTGTTGCTACGTGGTGACTCTTCTGTCGGACTGATCCGATGCCTCCGTCTGCCTCACAGTTTGCATAACGTATGATGTACATGTAGCTATGTGTCAAGCAGCGAGGGTGCCAGATGTTCCCATGCTTTGCGACTTGATGAGCACACCCTTGCTGTGGAAATGATGATCCTTGAGGGCCCTGAGGGTAGGCGGGGAGCAAAAGGCTTGTACTCGATACCTCGCCCAACCCTGAATCTCAGTGTGGCACCGGGCTTCGTTGCGTAGCGTTCATGCCGCTTTTGCTTAGACTCAACTGTTGAGGAGACCGTTGTAGCTCAACACGCCTCAATATGGCAGCTCAACCATACAGCAGCGCCCGCCAGTAACCCCTTTGGCACGCGTAGCTCGCATTCTATTTCATGTAACCGGTACATGCCAGACACTCTGGACTCCTCGTGCGGTTGTCTCCCCGATCCAGCGCAAAACGTTCCTGCGGCGCGCATCTGTCCCGCGTTTCTGAGGTTCCAAGTCTGCATGAGGAGGTTGATAGCTCCCCACTAATAGCTCTGTGGCTCCTGTCCATCCTCTCCCCATACATCTAGTCCGTGGTATAACTTGCCTTTCCCCCAACCCGACCTTGGTGACTCAAATCATCCTCTCATCCGTCCTGTTGATCTCCTTCCCTCCATTCCGTTAACCGAACGTCACTTCCGCTCAGCGGCCAAGTTCATCCCGCACACTGAATCCATTTATACACGCCTTCCCACTAGCGTACTCGGCATCTCAGAGCTTTGTCTCAACAACTACAACAAACAACTAGCACCACAGCAGCTACAGCCGCATTCACAATGCCCCGTATTTGCGCCCCCGTCTCCAAGCAGCTCTCGCGCTCAGTCTCCTCCTCAGTCACAGCCGCCGCCCGAACAGCGGGTCACAAGAATGCCGGCGCTGTGCTGATGCCAAAGTACGCCGAGCTCCTGGGCAAGAATGAGCAGAGCGACGTAAGTGACCTGTTTCCCCTCCTTCCACCCACCAAGTCTAGTTCCGCGTGTTACCCCAAATCCGTTCAATACCACACAATGGGTGGAATATTGAACGAGCACTGCACGCATGAAACCACTAGCTTTGTAATTGGTTGCAATTGATACTAACCTACTCAACCAGTCCACCCGTGGTATCACCACCACCCACCGCCCTACTCCACAGCCATCCATTGCCAACCGCAACAGGCCTCTGATGCAGACCTTCTCCCGCTCTGTCTCAGCTTCCATTTCCAAGCCTGAGTCCAACCTGGGAACCACCGTCCTCCCCTCCTGGGACGCCCTCTACTCCAGACCCTCCCAGGCCGACGCCACCCCCATGGTCCCCATCGTCCCGGACAACTACGGCGTCGTCAACGTCGTCGTCGACGCTCCCGTCAGCGCCCCGGAAGTCACCATCGTCGCCGTCGACCCGGACAGGGTCTCGGCCAGCTCCCCCTTCTTCGAGGTCACCGGCCTCGACGGCGTCGACCTCAAGTTCGCCCATCAGCCCGAGCCTACCAGGGAGACCGCCCAGGAGGACGCGCCCTCCCAGGGCATGATCACCGACATCTGGAAGGGCGTGGTCGACGACATCCTCGGCCGCGGCCAGCAAAAGAAACTTGCCTAAATAATCAGGTCAATCTTTCTCTTTTGTCTGCATCTCGAGGTCACCCCAGCCCGAGATGAACGTTTTATGACATCACCCATGGTGGATTTGCTATGACCCATTGTCAATGCTTTCTTGCCCTTTACCCAGAATGGCAGGAATATCAGCCGGCGCAAAGGAAAAATGCGCCGCAACACCTGGATCTCTTTAAGCTTGTGAAATTTCCGAGCACAATTGAAGCGTTTCCTGTTTATTTAATCTTTTGAAGGAACAAAAAAATTATTGCGTGTAATAACCTATATTCTTCTACATAATAATATCAATGGCAGACTGTCTGACTTCCAATTCACTACCATCCTGGCTTGCCAAAAACAGAGCTCTCTTTCTCTTTCTACTTCCCGCCCGTCCTCTTGCTCGCAAGACAATCGTAATACTTGAGCGTTGGGTCGTTCTTTGAATCTTGCCATTGCGATTTATGCTACCTAATTTTCCCAAAAGTCCAAACTTGCGCAAAACGTAAAAAAAAACCTTCTTTTGAATCGAGCTCCGCGTGTCCTAGATTTATTCATTTGTGGACTATCGTCTTCCCCAGCATCGGGCCGCACCGTCTTCCTCGCCTCCTACGTGGCCTATCGCGTTGCCAGCTACCTTTCGCACCCAGGACACGCCAAAAGGTGTGGGCTGGCTCTTTTCCCTCGAACTGTATACCCCCTTTACCTCTTCTTAACAGAAGGTCGGGGCTTGCACTCGTCGCCGTTAACGGGGTGGAGCATGACCTTGATGGGGTAGGCCTGCGTGTTGTGTTGGTAGCCCTTGCTCCAGTCGTAGCTAACGGCGTAGGCGAAGATGCTTCCGTTTTTGTTGAATGTCGTCGACGTGATGCTACCGCCGACTTGGGGGTATCCCTTGAGTCGGTGCTTGGCGTCCTTGTCCCAGAAGTGGAAGGTGCCGTCCGATCCGGCGGTGCTGAAGGTGCCGTGGACGGGGTGGAAGGAGATGTCGTTTACGGAGTAGACGCTGGTGGTGTTGTTCTGGGCGGGATCTCTGTGGCACTTGAAGGAGAAGTTGGAGCTGTTGGGTTAATTGATTTGTTAGCAATTACAATGTACGCGGCGCAATGAAGCTAGAAAAGGATTTTCCGTATGGGGGCCTGTTACTCACCTAGCATCCTTATCCTCGACGTATTGGATAGCGCAGCGACCCTCGATACTACCAATGGCGAAACCGGCCGAGTCGGCGAAGCAGCTGACCACCCTCGTCTGCCACTTGAGGGGGCTCTGGAGCGTCTTGTAGAACGCGGTAGGGTTCTTCAAGTCGATGACGTGGATGTGGCGGTCTGCGGTGCCGACGACGCAGAGGTTATCCTTTACGTCCATGGTGTACACACGCTCATTACATGTCACCGTGGCGGCGGGAGTCTGCTGCCTCATATCCCAGTATCTGACGGTCTTGTCCCACGACCCGGAAACGATCATGGGGGTACCGTTACTCTCGAAGAAGCGGACGGTGCGCACGGGCTGGTCGTGGGTTCCAATGATGGCGTCCTGTTGTGACTGAAGATCGCAGACCTTGACGTTCTTGTCGGCTCCTGCAGAAACGACCTTGGTTCCATCCTGGCGATATATGTTAGTTTGGATCCAGAAGGCGTACTCGGAAACCGCTACGGCCGGTAGAGAATTCCTCGAACCACAGCCCGAGGGTAAGTTTGGAAGAGTTCAACATACTTTTGAGAAGTCGCAATTCAGGACGGGTTGGGTGTGCTCGTAAGCGTGACGGCCTTGGCTCTGGCCATTCTGAGCAATCTCGTAAATCCGGACCTTGTTGTCCCAACTAGAGACGGCGAGGAAGTCTGGGCCGTTTGGGGCGGGAGAGAAGGCGAGGTCAGAGATGCTGTCGGTAGGGGGGTCGCTCAGGGCTACATCGCCCTTGAGGTCGCCCTGCGTTTGCGTCGCGGACGACGCAGCTGTCGATGAGTTGGTGCCGAAAAAGCTGGACATGGTTGTTGTGGGAGCTCAGGCAGCGCGTAGGAACAATCGAAGGCGCTGGGTTTGGGAGAAAGACGTGACAGGTCGGCAGCGCGCCCGCCTTTTTATGCACCAGCTCGGAGGACAAACTAGTCGTGGTCAGGCAGAGAGCATTGGTTGCGACCTCGATGATGGGTAATACGAGAAATGGGCGAAACACGGGCAGCGTTGAGGATGCTATCGCCACTTGTCGCGTTGATATCAAATAATTCTAAACTTTGTCTCTGCCTGGCCAAAGGCAACAGTGCAGTTGGTTGAAGCTTGGGCCAATCCGCGCTAGAGGCAAAAGTCCGGCAAGAACCGACAGCTCTCTTGCTCCTACTGCGCATAAAAAAGCAGCAAACTTGCCTTATGCAAAGGTCTCCACCATAATGCAACCCTCTAACTTTCCGCTGCATCAACCTCCTCGCTGCGTGCCCAGTAATATTGATCCGCCAATACAACCTTGTATTATGCCTTGCATAGCCAGCTTCTCGCGATCCTTCGATCCATTGCCTATGGCCCGAAACTCAAGGATCAGAGGCCGAGGCGTTGGAAGCGGCATTGCTGAAATGCTTGCCGAACCCCGGGAATGATACTACTGCCTGCTGCCCCAGCAGCCAATTAGTTGATTTCAGACCGGGATGGAATCGATTCCGACAGCTGAATGATCGGATGCTTCCACACCCATGGAACAAACCCACACACGTGGTGATAGAACGTAACTGGGGAGGGATTGTGCAGCTTTTAATATTGCACGGTTCCCACTTGATGGGACAGCCCTCCTTTTGTCTGTTCCCTTCCAATGCTAACAAGTCTGAGCAGCTTCGACCAGAACTTCCAGACTGGTCTATGCGTCAGATTAGGAGCGAGCCACTGCAGATTTGCTGACATACAACCCTGCACTGCATTTGGCTTTGCGAATGCTACCTACTACATACATAAGAAGTGATCAGGTCTGCCTATTCCAACTTGGAATTGCAGATACTGGTTCCCTCCATCACCAGGACGGTAATTGAGCCATATTCACATTGCAATGGCGGCGACGGTGGCCATGTCACCGGCCATCTCGGCTGCGTCATGCAACAACGAATATGCCTTCCTTGAGTATAGCTCGGAGCAAAAACGACAAAAGCGACAACACCAGCAAGACAGTGAGCAAATAAACGTCAAGCACGACGCCTCTTGGAGCTACTGTGGGCCGCTCCTCAACTCGGGCTTGGGAATGCCGACAACCTTCGACGAGTTTGCTCGGGCAACTTTCACAGGCCCTGTTCTGGCCAAGCTTCTGCCATTTCTTGACTTCGTCAATGCCTTTCTCGCCTCAAACGGCCTCCACCACTATTTCCTGACTGTCCGCGCCACCACTCCAACTCATGAATTTGACCACCCAAGATGGCACACGGATGATCTCTTCTTTGCTAATCTAACTGATGGCTATCTGCCCGGTAGTCGGCTGGGTGGCAACGGACAAGAGAACCGTACGGCCGATCCACGCACAGCCGGCACTGACTGGAAGATCTGTACCACCCTTCAGGGTCCGGCCACCCTCTTCATCCCCCACAAGCACCAATCACTAGCCCGTGAGACACAGCGCCAAGCACAGGAAGCCGCCAGCACTGACCACCAGTGCCTCTCGATCCGCTGTGTAGGGTGTGCTTCTGCCGCGGATCAAGTGAGGGAGGAGCTTGATGCCAAGCTGGCGTCATGTGGTGTCGAGGCTGCTATGCCTGGGGAGTGCACATTCTTCCGGGTTGGGCGTGACAACGGAGCAATACATTCAGAACCCGTCATGAGCAATGGGCAGAGCGGTAGGGTGTTTGTCAACGTGGTGCCAGGGACGGAGCAAGAGCTCAGGCTGCTCATTGGGAAGTGGGGAATGGAGTTTCCCAGAGAATGGTGGGTCGGAAGTAATCATATCTTGAGGGTTCACAACTCGTAGGCATCAATCTAGGCGTAGGTCTGCGTTGTTCCTTCTCTTGTGTTACCATATATACACGTTTTCATTGGCTATCCAAATTTCCCCTCAACAGGTTCGCGTGGTACAGCCCCTCTTTCATGCAAGACCCAGTGAACTCAATGAATGGGATTGCCTCCTCGGTCTGGACATGCATATATTGACCCCGTGTTTTGCATTGATGAAAGCGTGATCGACACTGGAAGGCTCATGACGGTCTGGCCGACGTTGAGGTCGTCGGCAAGTCTCAGTAGTCCTCTCATCTGCCCGCATATCCTGATTGGCCACGAGAAACCCTGGTATCCTGGACATGCTGCAGACGCCCGCTTCCTTCACGGCCCAGACCGCGCTTTGGGGGCAACAACAACCGATAATACATCGCGGTCAAAGTTATAGGTACACCTTCTTCTCTTCATGAGGCATTGTGGCTTGCCGGATGCCTCACTAGCTGCAGAAATCTCGTTCAGTGTATGGTAGCACATCACAACTGAGGCAACTCTTGCCTCTCTCCCTCCCGGGCGAACTGGTTTGCCCAAATTATTTAGTTTCGACTTGTCCCCAGCCCTTTTGTCAGTCTGCCTGATAGTCAACAAATGTGAGAATTCGAAACCTTTGTCTATTTCAACACACTTTCAGCTTCTTCTACTTCGAGACCAAACTAGGTTAACGCCAGGATGAAATCTTTTCTGCCTCCCGTTCTACCTCCTATACATCCTCCTGCCCTATCTACCACTCTTCCTACTATCCTGCCCCCTTATCGTCCAACAATTGTTCTACCCAATCATTCAGCCCATCATTCCTCCACCCTTCAACCAAACCTATCGTCTAACCTCGAGCCTAATCGCACATCTCATCGCTCCTCGGGTCCTCAACCAGATCTTTCATCTCAACTCCAACCCAATCATTCACCTACTCTTCCTTGCCTAGCACCTAAACCCGCTTCCTCAAATTTGCCCCCTCCATCACGAGAGCCGGCCACCAAAAAGAGGTCTAGTCTCGCTGCTTGTGATCGCTGTAGGAAGCGTAAGATCAAGGTCTGTTTTCACCTCTCGGCTTACTGTCCCTGCATCGAACACGCATAAAAGCCGAGCACGGCGGGCTAATCACCGAGTGAAAACCACAGTGCAACGCACAACGCCCCGCCTGCAGTTGCTGCTTGGCTGCCGGCAAGGAGTGCCACTACTACACGAAACCTTCCGAGTCGCGGGCGCATGCCCTGAAGAGGAAGCACAGCGAGCTGCAGCAGAAGGTGGAGTCCGACGCCACCGTGCTCGAGATGCTCCGGTCCTCCAGCCCCGAGGACGCCCAGGAGCTCGTGGAGCGCATTCGCCAGCGCCAAGACTCGCACAGCATCGTGCAGGATGTGCAGAACGGCGCACTGCTGCTTCAGCTCTCCGGGGCTGCCCCGGCGGACGTTCCAGGCAGTTACACCGCTGCTTCCCCCAGCTACTCGACTGATGCTTCCGAGAGCAGCTACTATACTTATTGAAGCGTGTGGTGACGAGTAGATTTCGGAAGTTCTTCGTCACACCGTTGTTGCTCCGAGTAATACTCCCCTCCCTCCCTGTGTAACCCTCAGAAATGCAATAAATTAACCTGACTGACCCTTCGCTCTCAGGCTTATGAACATGAAATATCTATTTAAAAATGTGCTATTCAACCTAGTGCATTCTTCCTGCCGGGACCAGCGTGTTTGTTGGATCCCTTTTACACTACGTACATCTCGTGGGTCTAATCTGACTGATGAGCTGTATATGTGTTCGAACGGCCTTTGCAAATAGGTACGCCAAGCAAGGCACCTTGGCCGGACACTGGAATATACTGTACAACTGGGCTCTACCCTTCATGCCAATATTTTTTGGTTTGGAAGGGCACGAGTCTAATGAATCTTGAACGTCTCTTTTGTCAATGGAGTTTTGAATTATACTTCGGCACACTCATAGCTATTGCGCATTGTGGCGCACAGCACTGCCATAGAAAATAAACTTGGTTTGCACACATAATTAATCATTACATGCCTACCTAGGTATTGAAGATAGTGAACAGCTTGGGCATTTCAACCACAATGTCGCAATCATGTTTTACGCAAACAAATGATGTTCTTATAACAAAAGGAAAATAGAAGGTGTAGCAACAAAGATAATATAACACACCCGGTATTGACACCAACGAGCGTCAATTGACCTTCAGGATAGCCCTTGGGGATGGGTTGATCTGAACCGATTGTCAATGTCGGTGCTAAAATCACGGATTGATAGCGGTTGAGCTGGTGGGTGGAGGGTGGAGGCGCACAAAGAGCCGCTGAGTCAGCTGGTGGAGTCTAGCTCGTTCCTGCCGTGAATAAAAAAAAAGTTCAACGCGGAAATTTCAAAACTTTTCTTCTTCTCTCCTCAGTCAACCCCCCTCGCTCAACAAATCGCTATTCGAAGCTTACAAACAGAGACGCTGCGCAAGCAGCGTCTCGCTTCCCACCTTGCTTTGGGAGAAAGTCCCCGGACGTCTTCTTATGGAGCCTGCGGAAACGCGCCGCCATAAAAGCACTGCGGCTGACCTCTGCCTTGCCCAGGCTCTCCCCTTGCCCATCTGCCTTGCCAACCGCTACATCCGCTCGAGCATGCCTCCCAGCATCCCTGCCGGAGTGCCCTAGACCCCCAATGGATGAAGATATGAGTCCGCGTCGACAGGCAACTTCAGCAGTGTGACTGATGGGTCTGGAAGCTTGGGTTTCGGATGGTTGGTGAACGCCGGTGCCTGCGGGTTTGCGTCGGGTGCAGAGGATTTTTGTCATGGTCGATAGGTATGCGATTGCCTAGCCTTGCGGCTTGGTTACTCGATGGGGCTTATTCTTGAGGCGAGGGGGGCTGTACTCAACTTTTTCTCTTTTATTTTGAGAGAGGAAGATTTGGCCTTGCTGTCGCTGAGGTGATGGTTACTTCAAGTGTCGCGGCGGGGGATTTTCTTCTCCACCGCAAACCTTTCTTTTTTTAACACTCTGGGCTTCATTGGAAGTCTTTCCCTACACTTGTTGTTGCTGTTTTCTACTGTTGCAGAAAGACCAAAAGTTCACGATGATGAAGACATACATTAGAGTCAAGCACTAAGACGAGGAAACACCTTGTCAATGCAGACTATGTTTACACAGTCTCTGAGAACTTCCAACACCTTGCTTTCTTTTCTTTTAGCCTTTTTGCTCTTCATATTTCATAGCAGGCCGGAGTCACGTAGAGTTTGTCCAAGTAAACCCGCAAACTGAACCCCATCTTGGATTCCTCAGCCAATTGACATTCAAGCCAGGGTCAAGGCTCGTGTGCTAAAATGCTGCCCAGTCAAGTGCCCAGGCGGTACAGATCCTCAATTCCTGACTTCATATGAGCAAGGATATGCTAGCTGCGTCGGCAAGCAAACGCCGTGTTATTCCCCCTCTCGGGCAGCTATTGCACGGTTCATGCATTCGCACCTCGTGATGGGGTCAAGTGCTGATCATGGTGCAACTTTCCTATTACGAGCTGCGGTCTGGTCACGATCTCACAAGCGCTTCGTCTATATATTAGGGAGACACCTCAGTGAATGGCAGAGTAGTCTTCAAGACACCAGGCAAGTGTGATAGGTAGGCAAGCTAGAGCCAATTGAGTGAGCACGGCGCTTTGACGCTCAGCCAATAACATGAGGGCATCGAGAGCTGGGCGCATGGCTGAGCAAGCACCACAGCTTCACGCTATACCATTCGACAGTGCGTTTAAGCTAACTATTAAACTATTGGGCCAAGCATTCTTGCTATGGATGAGCCAAAATCGAGGCGAAGAGCGAGACTATATCGTGGACTAAGTGTACCATTTTCAGCCCGTTTTTCAGCTTGGGACGTCCGCCCTATGAGGCTCACCGACCGCTTGTGCGGGTGATTTAAAGCCGATCTACGCGCGAGGGATGGATGCTTGGCGCTTCCTTGCTTGGCGTAGGTGGTATATTGCACCCTCACCCACACCAGCTGACATGATGGCATCGCACCCTGCTCCCCGCTTCAAGTGGCGTGGCTTTAGTTATTTCATGGCCTGTATGCGATATCGAGGTTCTAAATGATGCCTTTTACTAAGTATGCTGTGCCAATACTCTTCATGTAAAGATTTTTACCTTAACCGGTATGGGCTCTACCCTATTCCCGACGGTTCAGCATCTACCTAAGCAACGAGAAGTTTTAAAATCTAGAAATATTGTATAGAACATAGTATCTGTAGTCGGAGATTCATATATACGGCACATCGACGGGAAGCTGGCAGTTGGTGAGACCAAGAGACCAGTTCGTGCCTGTAGATAATGGTGAGAAGTGTGCGATTCACTGCACATACTACAAACATCCGTAACTGATAGGGCCCAACCAAGCGTAATAAGTAGCCCGACACACGGCGCAGCACATATTGAGGATCGGCTTTTAACTAACTGGGCACTGACCGAAGGTGAACAGCTCAGTGGTCTACATTGAGAAGCATCTCCAGGGAAGAACATCGTTAGTATTCAGAGTTGTTACCACGGAAAGAATTACAGAGAACATCTCATATATCTTGCACAAAGACTTGTTACGGATTGATTCCACACCACATGCTGCTCTCTGCGAACCGCCGAGTCCATTGATAATGGAAAAATATGTAGTTTTTATAGATTACAGGCTTGAATACTAGGCCAAGAGGCCCTATCAAAACCAAGGCTTGCCCTGTTTCGCCTATCTTAGGTTGATCCATCGGAGGAATATGCCGAAGGAGTCCCAGGCCAAACGCAGAGCCAATCCTTCCGCACGACTTGATCATTAGCCAGTTCTATCATGCTACCGACCTTAAACAGAACAGCTTTGGGGCACATGTACATAGTAACGCTATGACCAAAGCTCGCAGCATGTGAGAGAGGCTAGCGGCTGTGGTATCGAGCTGTAGGAGTTTCGTTATGGATGTTACAAACAAACACAATGACGTCAAACCCACAATGCTTCGCAGCATTTTGAAGGATGGATGCCCACAACGCCATCAAGATGATTATAGATCTCTCATTAGAGGGAGTGCTTTTATCACATAGCGCTTCTTCCTAGTCGTCACTCAATGAAGACTGCTGACCTTGAGTTAACGAAGCATATAACCAGTCATATACTCGTGTAAGTCGAAGTTTGCAGTTTCCACACTTTTAGGCCCTGGAGGGCGGCAATAATCGCTAATGCTAATGCTAATGCGGTAGAGCTCTGGCGCGTACGGCAGTTGGCATCACACACGACACCTGTCGCTTCCTCTACTGATTGGCCTCCCCAGATGAATAGACTGAGAACATAGGCGACTGAGACGACTCACCTTATGAATCCGGGCTTTTGTGACCCCTCCTTTCTTCACCTCTCATCTTCATCGAGGAACATCTCTCGACGTAATTCACCTCACCCACACAGCTGACGAGTCCCCTTTCCCAGCGGGTTAGTCCAGCTGCAGGTCCAATTTCCTGCAGGTTCAATCTCCATTGGGCGCACACAGCCAGCCACCTTCATTTCCCTCCGCTGCAGCTGCCGTCGCACGGCAGCCCGCGGTGATTGAGCATGAGGTGATGAGAGCTGCGGTGATGACGGTGCGAGAGAAGAAGAAAGCAACCGCATACGCGCAGGGAGGGTGGGAAGAAGGTCCCGTCGGAACCCGTCGCCAATTGGCCCGGTGGGCAGGGCCCTGGGGATACTTCTCGCAGAATGCTTCTGTTGAGCGTAACCTCGCCCTCCATTGCTACCCTCCCGATGGCACGTTGGTCTCAGCTTGATCAGCGGCAGACACACCAACACCGAAAAAGAAAAGGCATCCCCCTGTTCTTTGGTGCGGCACGGATTGGGTGTCCCTTCTGCCATGCACCTGGCGGAGAATAGAGCGAGCGTTAGGTCTGCGCTCAAGAAGAGCCCCGAGAATTTGGGATGTCCTAGCAGGGCCTGTCATTAGCCGTTGCGACGCGCCCCCTCCGCACGCTCTTCGGCTGGGTCAGGGCGCCTAAATGACCTAGTTTTTAGCCTGTCAAGAGAAATAGTGTGCTGGGTCAGCCGAAATGTCCGGTCGGACAGGGGCAGGGCCCTCGCATGTGTGCACATTGGCTGGAGCTGAAGGGTGGGAGAGCCGTCGTGGAGCTGGGACCTTGCCTAGCCCTGGACATCCATGAGTACAGTGTAGGGGCTGTCGCTCGAGCTCAGGGGACAGAGGAAGAGGGGGCAGATAAAACGCGAGCTGTCCGGGGAAGCTCGGCCCCTGGTCATGCACACCATCTTCTTTCTGTCGAGGAACTTCCTACGTAGTTACGTGAATATTGCGGAAACGTTGGGATGCTCGACACAGAATCGTCCGAGATACGAGCATGCATTGTCAGACAGACAACAGGAGAGAGCAAAGGATCTATACAGCTGCTCCAGCCTGGGGAATAAGATGCTTATTATTACATATTATTACATGTTATTGCTCGGTTACCGCTCCCATGGACATTGATGTCTGG